GGGAAAGAATCTTGGGAAACAAAAACAAGCTCTCTGTGGAAGATTGGAAGACAAGACTTTTGATAAAACCATAATGGCACATTCTCCAGGCTTCAGAAAAGAATTTGGACTTTAATATTTGTTAGGTCAAAGGTATTATGATGCATTCCAGTGACCAAACATGTTGTTCTGAAATATTTCGAAGAGTTTATAACTTTAAAATAGTTAAAGTCTTTGAACTACTGATAATCAGTTTTTCCTTCTGGAACTTATTTCCTGTAATTATTTGTGCTTTCCTACTTTATTCCTTTGAAGTAAATTTTGCATGTAAAAACAAACACTTTTTGTACTAAAATTGTTAAGATTTTTTAGCAACAAACACAGATGATTAGATATACTGCATAGATAAATTCAGTTTGTGAAAGTGTGGAATGAGCTCATTGTCATCTAAATAGAGAAATGCATGCTTTTTCTCCTTCTCTCTCTCTCTCTCTCTTTTTCTGTTGTTCACCATGTAAGATCCATCCCTGCACCTTTAAAGGAAAGATTAAATGACTAGCAAGAACCTGTTAATATGCTTTTTCATAGTAAGTGAAGATTTTGCTGAAATATACATTGAGACAAACTTGCTGTATTTTCTGTACTCAGCATTCTTCCATCAGCTCGACGTATTCACAAGGAGAGTAATTCTTCCTCCAGTCTTCCAAGTCTTCACACTTCCTTGTCTGCCCCTTCCTTCACTGCCCCCTCTTTCCTGAAAAGCTTTTACCAGAATTCAGGTAGACTGTCCCCACAGTATGAAAATGAAATCAGGTGAGATCAGTGTCCTCTGTTTGCAAAGCAAAATTTTCTGCAGTGATATACTGATATATTACTAAAAAGTGGCTGATTAATTTGAGAGTGATCTTTATGCATCTCTGTGCTGTGCTTGTTCTAATCTATTTCTAATAGATTGGTTTCAATTCCAGTTAATATTATTAAGAAAACGTTTCTAATCCAGTGGTTGCAGAGGTTTTTGATGACATGATTATCTTTTCAAATTATATATATATAATATATATCTATCTATATATAGAGATATATATAGATAGATAGATAGATAGATAGATATTATGTGTGTGTTTCTTTGCCTCAGACTCCAGAGTCTAAGCTGTGTATTGTTTGGAAGAAGACCTGGTGCTAACTCTACTAAGCAAACCTTCTCTGACTGTGCTTTATTTTTCCCTTAGTCTCTCTGGACATATTTTATAAACTCCAAAAGCCACTGATTGAAACAACTGTACTAAAGTGATCGATACAATATATATTTATTTTTAAGTTCATAGAGTATATATACTTAATGATAGACTTTTTTCTTCCTGAATCTCATTGTAAGTCACATAATGGGCACAGGATCATGTTGGTAGCAACTTTTAGGGAGCCTGAGGAATGGCTTGAGTCTCGTAAGCCATTCCATTTGGTTTTGTGTTTGTCCCCAGTATGGAAAATTATAGTCTATTACATCTTGTTCTTTTTGCTGCACAAAAATTAGATGTAGTGTTTTTTAAAGATTTGTCTCTTTTAACTTGAAATTATGCATGAAATTACATTGATCATTCATATTCTTAGTGGGGTCTTGGAAGCCTCTGGAAAGTGGTAAGCTAAGTTAGGAACTCGTCTAAAAGGGTTTGTTAGAAGTTTGTGAGATTCATTCCTGTTTTTGTGAATAGCTTGGTTAATTCATTTTTATTGCTGTATAGTATTCCATTTAATATTCCATAGTTTATTCACTCTCTTGCTGGTAAATATTTATATTGTTTCTAGTTGTTTGATAATTGGCATTTCTTGGAATCAAGGAAAAGAATTCACACTATCAACCATCCCATGTGCCACCAGAAACTTCTTGGATATTGTTTTAGCCTGTTTTCTTTTAGACCTAGGAAATTCTTAAAGTTAGCATATGACTTGGTAACCCTCAGCTAAATTAGACTAATCCTTGAATTATCTCTGAGTACCTTTTATACAAGTTTGCCCATTTTTTTCTACTCCAAGAAAGATAATTAATATTGGATTAATATACCTTTATACCTTTGAATCTGAATTTTCCTCTGAATTAGTACAAAGTCATGTTTAATCAGTGAATTTGATTTATAATAAAGAAGTAAATGAAGAATTTATCTTAAAGAATTTTTATAGACAACTGTATGGGAGAAGTTTTAAAGGAAGTTAGCCATAAAATAATATATGTTTGGAATATGTAATAAATTTAGAGAACCAGGAATGTATAAATATATAAATGTCAATTTACCTTACATACTGCCCACTAATAGGAATAGAACAGTTTCAGTCAAAGCTGTTTGCAATTTGCTATTGTTATTTTAATTAAAGTGAGCATATGGAGAATCATTTCCTACTGCAAACAGAATTATGTCTAAAAGTGATGGTCAAAGGTTAAGAAGGTCAAAGGTTACCTGTGAGTAGGATGTAGAGTACAATAGCAGGTACCTTTTTTTGGAGAGATTTTTGCTATAGAGCTTGTGCACTTGCTGGAAAGACAGAGATAGAGAGACAGAAAGCGAGAAATCACTCCCCAGGGGGGATGGTCACGCCGCAATCCCTTCTCCTCCATTCTCCTCTCGGGATTTTGGGCATGCACACACACGTGCTTGGCATGAGTTTTAAGCCACCAGGTCCATGACTTGAACCATGGTCGACTATGTGCGAGTCTAGTGAACGTAACCATGACTTCATTTGCTGGTCCTTAGAGACTTCTTTTTTAAAGAATGTTTATACTGTTTAATATAGGTTGTTCATTTGCTTTCAGGATTTCCTACATAGTCATCTCTTTTTCAGGGGGTCGGGGGAAGAGGATTTTGCTATAGGGCGCGTGCACTTGCCAGAAAGACAGAGAGAGACAGAGAGACAGAAAGTGAGAAATCACCCCCCAGGGGAATGGCCACACCACAATCCCTTCTCCTCCATTCTCTCCTCAGGATCTTGGGCACACACACACACACATGTGCCTGACGTGAGTTTAAGCCACCGAGTGCGGGACTCAAACCACGGTCGACTACATGGGAGTTTGAATTTTTTTTAAAGTTACAAAAATTTTACAGAGAACTCCATTTAACTTTTTATCCAGATTAATTCATTTTCAACATTTTGCTTTATCATCATCTTTGTCCATTTAGATATATATACATACATACATATGTGTACATACATATTTATCCAAGCTATTTATGAAGAGCTCGTGTGTGTTATGTACCTTTACTCTTAATATTTTAGGATGTATTTCCTAAGAACAAGGATATTCAATAGCATGGTTTTAATCCAGTGGTTTCTGAACCCTACAGCTGTCATTCTTACCCGTTATTTTAGAGAGAATATCATGGACACACAGTTACCAATGTGGACCTCTTCAGAATATGAAGGGAAGAGGTTCATAATACTATTAATTATAATTTTCTCATCACTTGCATACCTAATATCTTATTAGTGGTATAAAATGGATCTCTAGATCTGTATAGTCAAGTGGAGAATAGGGTAGATAGGTTGTAGGCTAATAATGCTATTAGTTTTTAAAAAACATTAATTTGAAATTTTTTTTTTGGTAGAGATTTTTTTTTTTTTTTTTTTTTTGCTGTAGGTTGTGTGCATTCACTACAGACAGAGGCAGAGAGACAGAAAGCGAGAAATCACTCCCCCAGAAGGATGGCTATGCTGCAATCTCTTCTCTTCCATTCTCCTCTTGGGATCTTGGGCATGCATGCACACATGCCCAGTGTGAGTTTTGAGCCACTGGGTCCAGGACTTGAACTATGGTCCATTACATGGGAGTCCAGCAATGTAACCATTACACCATCTGTTGGTCCTTTAATTTGAAATTTGAAATTCAGATTAAGTGTCCTTCTCCAGGACCACTGTCCTGAATTATCAAAAATGTGTTAAGTTACTGCTTTTAAGCAGTTTAAGAAAAAGGAGACGAGATCTTTCTATTGATAACATTATGGTTTGTTGGTTAGTAGGTTTATTTGCACAGCATTGAGATGATAAAGAAAAAGGAATAATTGTATTTTTCATTTTACCTTACTTCAAATTAAATTTTAAAAATTTCATGTTTAGTAGTTAAATGATAGTTGTGTATAGTGATTTTGTATATTTTTGTAATATTTATTTATCAGATATATTCTATCTATAGTCTTTATAGTTACCTCATGTTTTAAGCTCATATTTTAAAAATTACTTGTTTTGAAGTTCTTCAGTCAAAAGTAAATGATAGCTATTATTTCTACTCACAAAGGTTTTCAATGGGAAGATAAAACTTTTGCTGATGAAATACTTTATGATGCAACTTTGGTTATATAGTTCTCTTACAGTCGCTGATAAATGTAGTGTAATTATCCATTATGGTCCCTATCAAAATAGCCTTATGTGTTATTTATTGATGATTTATGAGAATAAATCTGAATCCTGATTTGGGATATATATCTGTGTATGTGCTAATGCCATTCCTTGTTTTCCTGTTGTACTAGACAGGACTCTGCTTCAGAATCAAGGTGATTAAAGTCTAAATATTTACTGATTCTTTCAGCTGAATATCACCATTATGAAAAGTGGTTTTGGTTATGTTCTTAATGCATGCCATCATTGTGGTGCTCTGAAATCTATGTAGTAGGGAAAATGTGACCCCTGGTGTAATCAAAGTTCGCAGATAACCATATAAAATGTTAATTACAAAAAGAAATCCTGTTTCTACTCTATTCCATCTGGTAATTTACTTACAGCTGCATTGTGGCCTTCAGTTGAAGCCTAATGGTATTTTCAATGAATAGAAGTGAATTTGCTAGTAGGGAAATACATGTGTATTTATATCTGAGGAGTTTATTCCAACTCCCAAAATAATGCAGAAATGAGGACCCTACAAGATACGTAAAATAGAATGTGTGTTTCACCTGAAGAGGATTATTAACCTGTTTCTCTTCCTCTTGATTCCTGTCACATTGCTCTCTTCGAGACACTGTGAAAGCCCAGCAGATCTCCTGCTTGTGTGGACACAGGAAAGCACCTAGTTCCTTATTGTGGAAGTCTGACCACGTCTGTGATGACATTTCTTCCTGACTCACATGTGTTTTGTGGTTCACATCCAGAATTGCTGCTGAATAATTTATCTGAAATGGCTATCCTCCCTCTTTGTTCCAACTCCCACACCTGTTCCTCTGACAAACTTGGGACCAGCAGTTAGTGTAATGGCTATGTTGCTGGACTCCCATGTAGTCGACAGTGGTTTGAGTCCCGGACCCGGTGGCTTAAACTCACGCCAGGTGTGTGTGCGTGCCTGCCCAAGATCCCGAGAGGAGGTTGGAAAGGAAGGGATTGCAGCGTCGCCATCCCCCCTGGGGGATGATTTCTCGCTTTCTGTCTCTCTGTCTCTCTCTGTCTGGCGAGCATGCGCCCTATAGCAAAAACCTCTCAAAAAACAAAAAACAAAAAAACACACACGCATTCAAACATACATGCCCATCTTCCTATTTAGGGCCACTAACATTTAGATTTCTAGTAGCTAGAGTGAAAACCCGGGATTAAAGACTGGACTGGAAGGAAAAGGAGTAAAAAGTCCTCCAGAAATTATTTTGGCCACATTGATGAAATAGTGACGTTTTTTGAACCTTTGACCTACACTTCTATTGTGATGAAGTACATGACCATTTAAAAAATGCTTTATTTTTAAAAGCCTGAAAGAAATGCTAGTTTTGCTTTATACCTTTATAGGTTCTACTTCTGATGTAGAATTAGGAATTATATCTATTTCTCACTTTAGAGGTCATTAGACT